AAAACAAATAACGCTTAGTACCAAGCCAGTCGCATTATCACTGCTCTACAAGCAGCACGTCGCATTCTTGAATATTGACTGACAGTTGGCCTAAAACATCAGGAAAGTGAAAGAAGACGTTATCAACTATTTTAAGTATCAACTCCAACAAGGTAAACTGACACTCATTCGATATATTACGATTAAGAAAGTATTATGAAAACTGACTTTTGATCGATATTAAGACGAAGATTTGCTAGGGTGGGGCTGGACGTAAAAAGTTGACTGAACAAGAACTGTTGGCCTCTAAACAACGACGTAAAGAACTACATCAGACCTATTTCAGATATAAAGAAAAGCGAAAGAAGACTTACATTGATAAACGTAGAAAAACTTATTCAATAAGAAGCGAAGGGAAAAAAAGCAGACGAAGATTTGTAAGGGTGGGGTTGGACGTAGAAATTTGACTAACCAAGAACAGTTGGCCTCTGAACATCGACGTAAAGAACTAAAACATCAGACCTACTTAACAAGTAAGGAAAAGGGAAGGGAGATTTACATTGATAAACGCTGAAAAATGTATTCAACAAGAACAGAAGAGGAGAAAACAAACAAAGATTTGCAACGGTGGGGTTGGACGTAGAAATTTGACTAACCAAGAACAGTTGGCCTCGAACAGCGACGTAAAGAACTAAAATTATTACTTAAGTTACCGGCTTTGCCCGTAACTTAAGTAATATTAATCGGGCAAAACTGCTACTTAAAACAAAATAATATCTAATCCTTATGTACATGTTTATAACAATTAAAAATATTCCAATTTAAGTTGATAAACCACTCTTTCTGTCAGTTTTTGTACGATCTGTAATGTTCTTGTGGACTAATATTTTGCGTTTTACTTTTTGAACCCTCTGGCACTAAATACTGTTTGTATCGTAATGTTTATACGTAATTATTAAAGGAATATGATGTTCGAGTTACATCATACTTGATTATCTGAAAAGAATTAGTGTTTTTGGAATAAAATATTTGTATGATAAGGCGTCTTCAAACAAACATAAAACCTCAAGTCTGTCTATGAATAACATTGCGTCGTATGTATTCACATACATTTTAGCTGCTGCGATAATCCCCGATTTACTACGTGTTGTAACAGAATTGTGCGTTTCAAGAGGTGAAAACGCGAAATATGACAACACATTAAATCAGTCTGTAACTTTTAGACTTTAATTAGACAATAGTGCTACTTTAAACGATTCAATATCTGATCCTATTGTACATGTTTATAATAACTTTAAACATTTCCCTTTAAGTTTAAGAACCAACATTTCTAACTCCTTAAGTACTGCTTCTAACTTGGTACTCATATTTTGATTTTAACGTTCTGAGCACTGTCCCACTAAATCCTGGTTACATTTCACTGTTGTCCTGTTCATCTGGGGCCGTGTTCATTTTAACATTTCCTCGCTGGCAGTTCATATCTTATGGTGAAATGTTTTATCCAAAACCAAAACCGAGGTCCCCTCTCAACTCTTTTACTAATGTGTAGAATAAAACAATTCAGCCAGGTAAGAAATAATTCTTTTCCTGAATTATATGAACGAAATTACTTTTAGCTTTAATGTTGGCAAAAAGCATTTCCAACTATTGGCAGTCCTGCATATTTGATTTATTTCGTGATATTCATAGATAACAAGAGTAGGTGGCTTCGTTACTTATCGATATGGGGCTTGGTGATACATTCTGTCTTTAACCGATGTTTCCGGTCTGCAGTTGAAATGTCTAAGTTGTGAAGGATTGTCTTTCCACTTTTTTGCTGAAAACTCAAAAATTCAAGGTTTGTAAACACACACTGGATCTTCTTCTTAAAGTGCTTTTCCGTTCCGGATGTTGGTGATCAGCATAGCAATTTGAGCTTCACTGGATATATCAATTAATTTGTAGAAAACTTTAAACCAACTGATGTAATTAGATAAGTAGGTTTGTGTTTAAGTGCTTTACTACATTGATTGTGTGTCATTCGCTTGATTCTCTCTAATGTTCCATCTTTTAGTTCGAATTTGCTGTAAATTAACTGTTTAAATTTGTCTTTAATTTGTAATGGTACCGTAGTCTCTTCTTAATTTGATAAAGATGCTTTAGTGAAATTTGTTTGATACTGTTACATGCGTTTCTTACATTTATGTGGAATAAGTTCCCATTTCCTCAGGACATTACTTATGTTTAATACCTCGCATATTGAACTCTGACGAAATATTGCCTACAACAATATTGGGATTTTGATGTTTAAGGGTTTCAGTTTACTTCCAACTAGAACACCATAACGTAGGGGATGAGCTAGCTCTTGTGACATAACCTTTCAAAACAGCTGAAATTTAATTTTTCCTAAATTCTGTAATAATAATAATAATGGTTGTAACTTCCAAATATTTCTATTATTTCAGTAGTTGTAACTTTTATTCATTGTTTTTCTCCTATCCCACTTTTATAGGATAATTTGTCCCTTTGAGCCTGAACTAAAATTTGTGTATTTGTTAGTTAAGAAGGTGATTGATGTTAAAATGCTTCACTAATTATAAATCCTTCTTTTATAGGTTACTCCTGCCAACGTAATATCAAGCAGAATGATAAGTGGATTTCAATTCTGATTTTTTAAACTTATAGATACTGTGTAGACGGTCACTGATGACCATGGTAGCTTGATGAACAATGAAATTGGATAGCTGGGAACAAATCCCAGTGAGCTCATTTCAGTTTTGTGTTATCAACGTGTCCAAACACCTCTAGAGCCAAACCAAGTCTTTTGTCCAAAGAAAGTAAAGAGATGGCTCATTTCTGAGTTCACGTGCCATGTAGTTTGATTGAAGTTTACTGACATTTCAGAGTTACTTGTTGCCTCAAATCATGATGGCTATAAGTCACTCTGATGAAGACAGCAAGTACATCTGAAATGCTGGTAAACTTCTACCAGATTACACAGTTTCACAACCCAGAAAACAGCCGTCCTCACACCCGCTGTCATGAGTACTTCAAGTATTACCTAAAGGAAGAAAGGTTGCAAATGTGACCACTTGCCTTGTTTATGTGGAGCTCATCATTTAATTTCGCGCTAAATATTTTGGTTCATCCTTGTGGAGAGACTTGCACTTTGTTGCTTAGGCAAGGCAGAATTTGTAACCCAGAAAGCTGCCCTCTTGAGAAGTGTATGTTCAGGCCATGAGGTTACCATGATAATAAGACTATAATTTATTATTTATCCAGTGAAACCCTCTGATGGGCACGATCTGTTTCATAGCAAATGTCAGAGGTGTGACGAGTGAGCTGGGCCAATTGAAGATGCTTGTGTCATTTTCTTTGCATTAAGGAGAAAAATACAACTTCAGTGATTGTGACATATACCCACTAAAAATTAGTGTGACCATCGGTTTCCACTGCCCACCTGTAATTAATAATGCCCTCTCCCTAATTTTAAAATTTCTTTACTTAATGTAACAGTTAAGTGGTTATCACTATGTTCTGAAATCAGCTGGACCCTATTTTTATTCACGTGCCTGGTATCTAGGCAAATGCGCGGTGTTTTTTCCATTCCTAATTACTACATTCAATGCGTTTATATAGCTGGAGTCAGATGTCTCTTGTTTCATTTTGGCTAATTGGGCTCGAACCTCATTTCTCACGTAAAATGGTATTGGCCTACTGGTGCCCACAAAGAGATCAGGGTTTTTGACCTAAAAGTGGTACTGCATCAAATTGCAATTACCCGGCCTTTTCATGAAGAATCCCTTATATTGTATGTGCATATCAAATAATCGATCTTTCAGGCTACTTCGCCATGAACTGGCCTCCCTTGCTTTCGCATGCAGTTCAATTCGAACTGGTATCATTGTCCGGGGTCGCCGAGCCTCCACCCACATAGCTGCTGCACGCAATATTCACTGAATCCATCCACTAGGTTGTGTTGTAATTAGGTAATATGATATTGTTATTAGTTTCTATAAATAGTTGCATATTATTAATATAATTGTAGCACATGAATATAAGTCATGTATATGAAAATACTTGCCCAATTCCGTAACTCAGAATTTCACCGATCTTATCCTCTTTTGATAATTAAGTTGTTTTCAAGAAAACGGAGGCACTGTCACCCCACAAATGTATTATTTCGAAATAATTAATAAAACATCAGCCATAGTCCGAAAATGAGGCAAGTGCCAGAGGACAACTTCATAAAAACTATAGAATGTTCTAGAAGCTTTTTATCTATAAAGAGTACGGAGGACATATTGTACCCGGACTACGCCCTTGCTGACCAATATAGCAGCAAGACGCTTTTGATCTGTTACAAGTTTAGTCTTGGCGACGGTACTCCGTTCAGTCAGAAGTCGGCCACTGCTACAGCCTTAAGCAACAACCTGTTGTACTTGTTACTATATATTAGTAATAAATCTCTTGTACGAGGGTCGCTCATTAAGTAATGCCCCACATTTTTTTCCTCAGAACATATTTATTCAAGATGGCTCAAATTTAGTGACAATATAAATCAATGTTTCCTTTACACATACTATTTTTCCACATAGTCCCCATCAACTTGTACGGTTTTACGCCAGCGTGGAACAAGGGCATGCATGCCTTGCCGGTACCAGCTCTTGTCCTGTCCCCGTAGCCATGTCCTCACTGCTTGAATCACGCTCTCGTCATCTTCAAATCTTGTTCCGCGGATAGCATCTTTAAGGGGCCCAAAGAGATGGAAGTCGGAGGGTGCCAGATCTGGACTGTAGGGTGGATGGGGTAGCACCGTCCAACCCAATTTGGTGATTTCTTCCCGGGTTCTCAGACTTGTGTGAGGGCGTGCATTGTCGTGCAGGAGCAAAATTTCTGCTGGATGCTTGTGAGGCCGAACTCGTCGAAAACGCTTCTTGAGGGTTTTCAGGGTCCTGATGTACGCGTCTGAATTGATGGTCGCACCTCTTGGCATCACATCCACAAGAATGACCCCATCACTGTCCCAAAAGACAGTCATCATGACTTTTCCGGCGGAGGGAGTTGTCTTGAATTTCTTCTTTCTCGGTGATTGAGGATGATGCCACTCCATTGACTGCCTTTTTGTCTCTGGCTCAAAGTGGTGTATCCAGGTTTCGTCACCTGTAATGATCCGGGACAGAAAGACCTCTCCCTCAGCATCAAAACGCTCCAACAATTCAGAAGAAATCGTTTTCCTTTGAATGGCAGGACGCCCAGAGCGCGGCAGATCACGGAGCTCGGTTTCTTCACTTCCTGAAGCTTTAACTCTCTTAGCCCAGCGACCAACGGGGCTCCTATCGACTGCACAGCTTCCATACACAGCACACCAACGTTTATGAATGTTCACCACCGTTTCTTTTTCAGCAACAAGGAATTCAATTACAGCTCGTTGCTTGTAACGAGAGTCGTTCACAGACGCCATTTTAACAGTTCACTACAGCTCCGCTATCGGTTGGAATCATTTGAAACTCCGTACACGAACGCGGGAAACATCAAATCTCAAGCATGTAAAAGTACACTTATCTATCTTCATTATTGGCTGAGAAAAAAAATGTGGGGCATTACTTAATGAGCGTACAAGCAGCAGCAATTACTCCATTCGGCGACCGATAACTAACCATCAAATCCTCTCGACCAACTTATCGAACCCACAAGGTACTCTGCACGGTTTTCCTTTGTGTGGTACACAACAGTTGTCACAAACCACATTAACTCTATATGCACTAAGGTTCTCAGACTTCTTATTTGCATGAGGTACGTCACAGTAGTGACCCACACAAACAATTTCATTCACAAGGGAAGAGTATTCCTCTCCTGTACTAATACCTTCACGGTCGTCCACTTCATTAATATCTGGGTCTGCTCGACTCTCGGGGCTTTCAGGTTAATAAACGGGGCACATATTGAGAAAAATAATTAGAAATCTTTACATTTCTTGATACATCAACTTTGTTAAAGTTTTTTCCAGTTGTGAATTTGTTTTATATATGCAGTAGATTTGCCTCAATAAAGTGTAAAGCACTCCATATTTATTTACTGAAGAAACAATAATTGTTACGTCACAGTTTTGGCTAACATTGTTATATTTTATTGGTATTTATTGACGTCAACAATCGCCCTTCGTTACTGTGGAAACAAATGGACTGGGAATCGCTTGTGGAAAAAGTGCATATACATAAGATACTTTTGTGCAATTTTACCTGACTGTTATGCCTAATTGTATTCTATAAACTCTCGCTGTGTAAACGTATCATAAGAGTACGTTGCAAGTTTCGTAAAGATAACATCCCACTTGATTTATTCAATATAACTTGAACTGTTGAAGAAAACATCAAGATGACTGTGACTTATACCGGCGAAGTAGCTACGTGCAGAGGATTTGGATGTTTCTTGAAATTACTTTTTCGGTAAGTAAAATATACAAATCAAAACACTTGTTGTTGTTGTTGTTGAGTTTGAGACAAAGCAAGGACAAAAATATCAGAGATTTGTACAGGGCCATAAATGATTTTGAGAAAGGATATCAACCTCAGACTAATTTGATAAAAAATGATAATGGCAATTCACTTGCGGATTCAATTTTGAATAGGTGGAAATTGTTCTTTAATCAAATCTTAAATGTTCACGGGTTTGGTGATGATGTTACATACGTCAGTATTTGCGAATCCAATGCAAGTGTTCAAAATGACCACCGTCAGCTTCGTAGCACAGTCGACAGAAGTGAGCAAGTGACTGGTAAGCGTCCAACTGAATTTCTGTTGTGTAATACATCTTTTTGGGAGCATTCCGTATTTTGTCGTGACGTCGGGTGTGGTAGTTGAGCCAAAGGCGACGACGACAAAGGGCGCAATTTACTTCGGAACAGGGGCTTCGGTTTGAATAGGAGACCCTTTTACCATTATGCAGGATACCACTTTGCAGCACGTAACTGCAAGGCTACATTCCCAAAGGGACTCAAGTTGTAAGAAACCTTTCGGCTCAGTTTTGTCGAACAACGGTTGAGCTGACTGTGACTGTGAGGGATCTCCGATTTAAAACAACGGTATTTTTCGACGAAACTATAGTTTCATCAAACAGATTTCATGCAACTGTCATACTCTGTAATGACACACATCAGATGGCGAAATTCTGTCGAAGTTTAGCAGCGTATTTTCCGCCCTGCCAGTCAGTAGAGTTTGATTATCCCTTCCCTGTGAGCATCTGGTAGCTGTACAACTGAGCGGCTACCCAAACGTAATTGAAAACTGGCGGATCGCGTAGATGGTTTTGACTGTGTCAGACGTAGCCTGTGACTTCCGTGTGTGAATTCCAAATCAGTTTATCGGAACATCAGTGTATTAACAACAATTACATTGAAGACAGCAATACTCAGACTCTGGGATACTAGGATACTGGGAGCGACCCGTTCTTCAAGTGCCTGAGCACTGCGGGTCCCAACTTTTAGTTGGCTTGATCTATAGACATTTCGTGGGACTCCTTAGCCTCTACCTGTACACAGGATAGCACAACACAGAAAAACGTGGACAAACATCCACGGCTTGAGTGGGATTCGAACCCGCGGTCCCAGCGACCAAGCGGCACAATGATCTTCAGACTCACCGCCGTGAAAACCTCAAATCCCACATAATAATTACATTACTTTATGCGTAGTTGGCAGCTTGATAAATGCCAGTTCACACAAAGTTTAATACTGCTGAGTTTTCGACATTCGGCGACTGCACCTTTAATTCAGTGCAAGGTTGAACTACTGAACAATAGAAATGCTGAATCAATTCTTCGCAATAATCTTGAATCGCATCTGCAGTGCGACTATCGATAAGTGTATATATGTGACAAACTAAATAGCAGACAGAGCTCGTTGATTCATTGAGTCGTATATTTATTTTAGTGCGGTGTAATTGTGATTCGGTACCTGCAATTTAGTTTTTACCTGCCCATCACTGTCACTCAGTGACATCCCACGCGATGTTCCCTTCAGATTACTCAACTGTACAGGGTCTAAGCAAGTCTGAACATTAATCTTCGAAGATCCAAAGAAACTGCAGTGCGCAAAAAGCGAGAAACACTTGAATAGGCCGATAAAGTAACCCACGTCTGGTAAGATTTCAGATTCTCGCTGCGGTGAATATGAAGATGACGTCTTCTGGAATACTGCGCCGTGTAGTCTGTTAGAAATTTGCCGATATTTAACAGGTACTTGCTGCCACCATCATCAGGTCGATGATAGAGGAAGCAAGTACTCATGAAACATCGGTAAATTTCTGCCCAGTAACCCAAAAAGTTTGTACTCCTCTTCCAGTATTGTCAGGGTCATTAAAAATGAGTAGGACCTATACCACCTTTCCCCCAAGCGCCTACATTGCGTATAGTGGGACAGCTTTACTTTTTTAAAAGTGCAAGTAAATGTGAACTAAGAAAAACGGTTAAAGATTACTGGCCTTTCCTCGTTCCACTGCACCTTGCGCTTTCATTTACATGCGACGGTTTATTACAGTGAAAATTATCTATCACGAGGTCACAGACTGTCAGGCTGTTTCTGTGTCTGGAATAATTTTCTTCTCAGTTGGTGTTAATGACAATGTAGTGACTCTGTCCTGATTCTGCGTGCATCATGGGTAGTTATGGATCCTCTTCAACGCAGATAATAATCGCTAGACAGAAGCAACTGATGTTGGAATGGTTAACGGGACAGATCATTTTGTGACTTCTGCCGATAAAGTTGTCAGATATTTGAGCAATTCTGGAATATTACTTCTTAAAGACTTCCGACTAAAATATAACGGATACTTCGGTTTTTGGAAGAAATTAATCAATATACCGTCTGTATGATTTCAATAATGATTCATAAGTAGTAGCTAAAGATTTTCTCAAATTGTGCTTAAAGTTTCATTCACAATTCCACTCGGTTACATTTTATTAAGCAATTTTTGCTTTAGGTGAAAAAAGGTCTGCAGTGGCCGCGCTGTCTGAGGCATGAGCCTTGTGCCGCTTGGTCGCTGGGACCGTGGGTTCGAATCCCACTGTTCGTGTTCGTGTCCGCGTTTTCCTTTGTTGTGCTGTCCTGTGTACAGGTAAAGGCCTTGGGACGGGCCGATCCCTCGTCCAAGGAGTACTATCTAATGTCCATAGATCAAGCCAACGGAAAGTTGGGACCCGTAAAAGGATACCGGAAAATGTGTGTAAAAAACATTGTTAAACCGGAAGTAGAAGAAGTGAAGAAAAATATTACGATTAGTGAGGTTACCGTGTGGTGGACTTGCTGTATCTGGCGAATGGTGTATTTACAGAAATATGTCCTGTCATAATACTGAATGTGTTCTAACAGCGTATCAATTGTTGCAGATGGCGAGGCAGTATCTACAAGCTGGTGTGGCCAGACCTTGCCATGTTTCTGCTCCTTTACTACACCTTTAACTTCGTCTACAGGTTCTTCCTGGATTCAGACCAAAAGAAGTGAGTTTTTAGACTTGGTGCTTCTTGGTGGACGTATTTCTTTTGGTGATGGACGCTAGGGATGGCGCTATGCAAAGTTTGGTGTTCAAAATAACAGAAACTGAGTTACTGCTCTGTCAAAGAGCAAAGGAGCACAAGTCTCAAACAACTTTTTGAATACTCGTGTTAGATAATATATTCGAGTCACTGGTTCGCAACAGGAGTGTCGTAAAAACCTTCCAAGGATGCCACAGAAATTTAAACATCCTAATTTGTTCCACTTTTATCGCTGTTAAAATGTGTTTTTAATTTTCTCGTCTCCCTCCACATTATTTATTTTACTATTGTGCTGCATCTCTAGGTAAGTTCCTAGGCGTCTAATAACAGATACTAATAAGTAAGACTTGTGGTTCTCACAGCGATGAGTATGAAGATATCCGTCTTCTGGGTTGTTGCGCTGTGTAGTCTGGTTGATGTTAACCAGCGTTTCAGAGGTCATACTGCCTCCGTCATCAGGGCGATGAACATGCCAATAGGGTGTGAGGTGCTAGGTTTACAGGCCGGAAAGTGAAAGGTGTACAGAGTGAACTGGAGGCACTCACCACCACCTTCAGGAAAAACGGATACAGCAACCGTCAGATTCAGAAAGCTCTCAATCCGCCTGCGAGGCTGCCCCCGCCTACTGAAAAACCAGCCTCGATTGCCTTCCTGCCTTACGTCGGGACGACCTTCAACCGCATAAGCAGGTTGCTGGCCAGGCACGACATCAAGTCTGTTGGTCTTCCGCCAAAGAAAATTTCCAGTTTTCTCCGGCCGGTAAAGGACGACCTAGGACTGAAGACGCCTGGCGTATACAGTGATCCCTGCGAGTGCGGTAAAGTCTACATTGGCCAGACAGGCCGTTCCGTTGAGGCCAGGATCAAGGAGCACGAACGCCACATCCGGCTCGGGCAGCCCGAGAAATCTGCGGTTGCTGAACAGCGCTTCAACATGGAACACCGTATAGAGCTCGAGGACACTTCTATTCTCTCCTCAAAAACCGGCTACATGGATCGGATAATCAGGGAAGCCATCGAGATCGAACCACATCCCGATAACTTTAACAGGGAAGATGGACTTCACCTGAGCCGGTAATGAAAGCCTCTTATTCACACACTTCGAGGACTCCGAGAGCGAGCAAGAGTGCGCCGCCAGAACCAACCAGACCACTAACATGGCCCTTTTCAGGGCCCTGATCCATACAACCAAACTCAACCTTTCTATCTCTACTTTCTCTCCCTCTCCCACTCTCGCCCACGTGCTACCATTGGTCCACTCCCATGCCTGCTCCCATTGGC